AAAAATCTGGTAATTCTCTGCTCAATATCTGGTTCAAGAATTTCACATACCTTAAAATGGAAAGTTTTGGATGGGAATTGGCAGCAAGTTTAGATAGCTCAAAGGCAAATTCCATTTTACCAAGACATTTTTATGTGTTAGTAAAAAAAAAACCCTAATCTTTCCTCCTGTGTGTTTCCTTTGCTTTCACACGGAACACAACACTTCTGACCCTTCTGGTAATTAAATGTGTGGGTCTTTTTCCACACCAAACAAGTGTGCAACACCAGCTAAGAGTCCTGCAATTTGACTCAACTCTGATACTATCCACCTGGAGACAGCATTAGATCCCACAGGTTAAGGGTTCCATCCCATGAGACTGTCCCCCACTTCAGATGCCAATCACAACTCCAGGTTGTTAACTGTCATTCTGACTGATGAGTTATAAATCAGAGGTTCCCATGACCCTCTCTTTGGGTTTAGTTAATTTGCTAGGGCAGCTCACAGAATTCAGGGAAACACTTACTTATATTTTCCAGTTTATTAAAGGATATGACAAAGGATACAGATGAACAGCCAGATGAAGAGATACATAGGGCAAGGTCTGGGAGGGTCCCAAGCATAGGAGCTTTTGTCTCCCCATGGAGCTGGGGTGCATCACCCTTCCAGTGTAGATATGTTCACTGACGTGGAAGCTCCCCAAATCCCATACTACTAGGGTTTTATGGAGGCCTCTTCAAGTAGGCACAATCAGTTATTAACTCCATTTCCAGCCTCTCTCCCCTCTCTAAAGGATGGGGGTGGGACTGAAAATTCCAAGCTTCTAGTCATTGGTCCTTCTGATGGCTAGTGCCCATCCAGGAGCCATTCATGAGCCCACCCATAGTTGCCTCATTAGAACAAAAGATGGTCCTAGTGCTCTTATCACTTAGGAATTCACAAGGGTTTTGGAGCTCTGTACCAGCAACTGGGGGACAGACACCAATATACATATTTTCTATTATCTCACATCCTTCTTCTCTAAATTTTTTGTTACACCTTTGTTTTCCTGATCTGGCAGGAAATTCAGCATTACCTAGAAAAGTAAGGAAAAATGTAGGTAAAAGTGAAGATAAATATCTACACAAAACAGAATTTCCAATGGTGCACACCAATACAGCAAACAAAAGCCTCTGTACAGCAGCCATGGTTTGTGCTTTCTTTGTTGAAGTGTGCAGTCTAATGATTAATTAGAGTCAAAATAAATCCCTTAGAGAAGTTGTAGCAACTGATTCTAAAGGTATGCTTTTCATTACAGTCCTAGGTGGGGAAAACACAAACTTGATGTGAAAGCCAAAGGGCTCATGTTCAACATACGGATTTCTTCAACACTGTAGTTCTCATCTTGTGAAAATGGAAAAGTATTACTAGAAACTATTTTGAAGAAATGTTGGTGTTTCCACACCATTCCTCAGAATTCCTAGGATTCACTATGTTATAATAAAATTTCCAAAGCAATGTTACCAGCATTCTTGCCCTTATTAAAACAGGAAGTTGACTCAGTATAGTTAGAAATGACATCTTTAGGGTTAACATTTCTTAAAATAGTCTATTTCTGTACAAACATTGACATTTATGATACTGGTAGTGAGATTCCCCAAATCAACAAGAACTTCTTGGTCAATCCAGGTGTCCACAACATTAGAGAGAGAACTACTTTGTAAACATTCATTATCAGTTTTTCCCAATTCTGAGAATACTAACAGGTAACATACAGAACACACTACCTCAAGACAGCCCAAACCTTGAAAATGTCAACCAAGGCCACAAAGGTCAGCTGACTTATAGTAATGTTCCAAAGATTCTTGCCTGAAGGCCATGTCAACAAATGTCTCCATATATAATATTTATACCACGTCCTATAAAATGGGCTCTCTGCCTTTAAGTCTATTAATTGCTTCTTCCTACTGAACCCATAAAAGAGAGAATTTTACCTCTCACTTATCCATGACTCTATCTAGGTTCTTGAATTCTCATACAATGACAAAATACATAATGAGCTACACATAATGTATTGGGCTAAAACATCACATCAATACAAAGCAGTGCTGTAGTCACTTTTACAAATTGAAAATCATCATTACTGAGATGGTATGGTTATAAGAATTTTAAGTTTCCTTTTAATTTGAAAGTCTAGAATTCTTTGGAAAGTGCTTGAGGAAAAATAATCTTTCTATACCTGAGGTCTATAGCTTTATAGTATATTTGAAAATCCTCCCATTCATTGTTGTTAAGTGAAAAGAGATACCTGCAATGAATGTCTAGTATCCACTAGAACTTTCATAAAGGTTAATCCAACTAACAGACGAAATTCCATGATTATCCTCATGGGTTAATCCAAATAGTAAGAGCTTGTTGATCACAGGAATTTGCATGTAATCATAAGGCTAACCTGTAAGATCTAAGCATGATACCTGATAGCTCAAAGTCAGGGCAAGAGAAAGTCTCTGTGCAACCAGGACAAACAGGAACCTCTAGGCAATCAAACCCCCACAGGATGGACAACTAGTGCCCAAACTGCACTTTTTATCTCTGAGACTGCTAGAATCACTATGGGACATTCAGATTTAAGAACTGAGTGAACAATTCCACTTCTGGTAATTTACGCAAGTGCAAAAATATGTATATACATGAATGATCATCCCAACACTGTTCATAGTAACAAAAAATTAAACAATAAAATATCCAACATCAGGGGATTGCTTAAATAATTTGTGGTAAATGCATCAATGCAACTCATTTGAAAATATGGTGTAAATTTATGTCTATTGATGAAAATAATTTATTTTTTTAAATAATAGAACACAAAATTGTTTCACATATATACACAAACTTGTTTCACATATAGACACAAGACTGAAGCCTCATTTTTTGTTTGAAAATATACTTTTAGTATATTTAGAGAAAAAGGTAGATAAATACATACAATATATACTTTCACAGAAAAAAGCCATTAAAAGATATACATCAAATGTAAATAGTTTTTATCTATGGATAAACTTCTACCTGAGTATATTTTCAAAATTTTGCACAAATGCATGTACTATTTGTATTAAAAAAAAGAAAAGAAAAAATAAATTATATAAACAGATTACAGATGCCTATCACCAGTTTAATCAATATATCATCAGAAGAATCAGCCCTAGCCCTATGCACTATAAGCTTTTAAAGTTAACTCACAATTGCTGAGGGTACTCAATTCTTTTTTCAAAAACATTATCAAATAATAAGAGTATGGTTTCAAAAGACAATAAAAAATGATAGACCTACTTTTCAAAGTAAGATTAAATGATATAACCCATGCTTTTCAGTGTCTGGCATAAAATAACTGCCCACAAATGTTAGCCGTTATTACTAACACAAGAGCTTTCATATACGTATATTTGCTTGATCCCCAACAGTTCTACTGGGTAGAGGGGGAAGGTACTCCTGTTATGTCAGTTACACAGACACAGAAACCAGAGCTTTGAAGTTAGTTAAACTAGGACCATACAGCTGACAAATAGAGAAGAAAACACAAACCTTTATGCTCTAGTAATAGAACTAAATGGTAGAGCCTGTAAAAAAGAATGACTTCATATCTATTGATTCTATTGGTACTGATATTCTAGGTTGTCAAACAAACCTTGTTCTCTCTCTCTTACATATTGCCACAAATTATTTTTTCTTCTATTCCTCCTCTCCTTTTCTAATTGTTGCTCTCTCTTCTTTCTCATCTTTTCTTCACTACCCCTTCCTTTGTATTATTTCTCCTTTCTTCCTGTGCTCTTCCAGCATAGTTGCTGTCCCCTGCTAGCTGTCTCTCCTTGCTTTTTCTTCTATTCCACGCTTATCTTTCTGCTTCCTCTCAAGTGATCTGGTTCCCTTCAGAGCTCCGGAGACAGACGGCACACCCATTTTGTTGAGTAGGAGTACCACTCTGTGCCAGCTTGTGGAAAAACAGAGGGTGGGGGGAGTGCTGGTACGGACAGCAGTAAGTTAAGGTGTACAAGCCCAACAATTTGCAAAATTTTTAAATATGGCAACTAAAGACTGAAAAGGAACTGATGCAGATAACACAAAGAACAAGACCAGATATACCATCATGTTAAATCAAGCTCTTTATGTTCTTATTTTAAATTATCTTCTGTAGAATATTTTATATATCTATCCATTATTATATATAAAATACCCTACAGATAGGAGATATATATATATATATATAATATCCAAGTATTTATATAGCCATATAAAGTATAGGTAGACTTTGATAAGAAAAGGCAAGTTAAATAAGATACTCACTAAGAAAATCATCTAAATTTTAATTAAGCCACAATCCATGGGACTACATCAGGCAAAATTAGATAGCAAACTAAATTTTGAGATAATTTAAGAACACAATAGAGTATCTCATTAACCTCTGTATTCAAGTAAATACATTCTAAGCTTAGACTGTTTAAATGAAGTCCTCAGATCCTCATTTCAATTTGCTAGAGAACCTGAACTTAAGATATGAGAGAAATCAGTTTCAAAATATTCACATTTCTGTCCTATCCTTAGACTTTTTTTCCAAACCCTATTTTCAATTCAAATTTCATTGTGTTGATCTTTTTTCTATCTCATTTTATACTGTAACATTAAAAATTAATAGCCATGAAGCTGAGAATGTTTTTAACAGCCCCATCTCCTCTTAGTGTATATGGAGATACCCTTAAATAACAAAATACACGTGTGCACGCACACATACAAACATGCACACACACACCCAATTTCAAAAACTTTAAAGGAGTTTAATGTGGAAAAACTCTATAACCAACATTAAATATCTGAGAATTTAAGGTAAGTGATCTTCATTTTGTTTTGTCTTACTGCTTCTAGAATAACAGTGACAAAAAAGTCTAACACCAGAGATTTGCTGAGTAAAAATGTGATGAAATTATCAGACACTGTACATAAACCATCAAAAAACAAATGATAATGGAAGTATTTCAGAGTAAACATACATTTGATGACTTGTGGATAGAAGAAAACACTTCCGTTCTTGGTATAAATAACTGGTTTTGCCTGTCCATCTGACTGAAGTCCAACAAACAATCCTGGGTTCTTCACAGATTCCAGGCTTATAGATGCATTTTCCAAGTTCTTCTTAATTTTAAAATGACAGTCAATATCTCCTGTACCCTAAGATCAACATAACGTGATTTCATAAATATGAGCAAACACTGAAGGGCAGAATTTAAAACCAGTCATTTCACAAGAATATTATTTTGCTTCATTTTCAAAGCCTCATGACAATTCTAGGACCTTTTTGCATAAATTGCACCATGTGCTTGACCCCATTTAATACGATCCAGAAACAGAGACCACGTAACTGGCTGAGGCAAGGGTGTATGCCCCAGATGAAGGGCTCTGAATCACAGAAGAACTTCAACTTAAGGAGAGTGCAATGTATGCTACATTTCATTTCAGAGTTGCCTATCTCTATCAATGAGTAGATAATACTAAAATGTGAAATCTTCCTTTGGGAAATTACTCTAAAATAATGATGGAAAAGAGGGCAATTCTTATCATAGGTACAAATATATATCAATTTTCTGTGCTATTCCACATGTTCTGGATTGAATTTTCACCAGTAAATACAGTTCACATAAATTACTCAAAGACTGTATAGCAAAACATTCGAGAATTAGATGCCTAGGACTGATCAACATACCTTTCAGAGCATCAAAATAACTTCTTTTCTTAAGGCATTTATAATCTCTTATTAGAAAATATTTCACATTTTTCACCTATATTGCTTTAAAAAGTTTTCTTATGAGATTGAGGAGTTATAGAAAACAAATTTTGTGAGAATGAATTAAAATTTCCAATAGCAGCTATTATTTATAAAAGATGATTATATTTTGATCTCTACCCTCAAATGTGAGCTGCCTATAGGTAAGAACTATGTGTGTTGTCTGTTTCTTTCTCATAATATAAATATAAATTAAGCAATTCCTATCTTCTGTTCGTGGTATGGATACAATAAAAATTTGGCTTTGATTTGTTCATGGCCAAGTAGAGGACACAACCACACATACAAATAATAACAATATAATATGCTAAGCAAATAGCGTAGGGATGGACTCCTTGGATTTGGGGAGGAAAAAAAGCACTAAACTCAGGAGAATAGGAAGGGCTTCCTGAGGAAGGTGAAGCTGAGAAGTGTTAAATAACAACTCAGCTAAGTAGAGGAAAGTGAGGGATGGAAGGTAGGGAATTTCAGGCAAAGGGGCAGCATGAACCAAGGCTAAGAGGCAGCAGGCAGCAAGTGTGTGGATGAGCAAGCTTCCTGATGTTGCTGGACAGAGAGAAGGAAGTGAATCCAGAAATACAGGATCAGTTTGTATGCAACATAGGGAGTCTGAGCCTTATTTTAGCCCATGGGAGCCACTGAAGCATTTTAACCAGAAAAGTGATATGGACAGATCTCAAATTGTCTTCAGGAAATTTCTTGAATGACTCTCTAATACCTTTACAAAAGAAAAAACTCATCTACCCTATCAGTTATGCACCCCTTTGCAGATTTCTAACGATCAACAGAATCTCAGTTCTCTCCTGTTCTTCGAGTATGTAGCCTTGAAGCTCCCTTTTATTATTATTATTTTTTCAAATAGATTCTATTTTTTAGAATAGTTTTAGACTTACAGAAAAACTGAGATAGTACAGAGTTCCCATATACTCACACCCAGTTTCTCCTATTATTAACGTTACATTAGTATGATACATTTGTTACAATTAAGGCCAATGCTGATCCATTACTAATACTTTATTGAAATTTCCTTAATTTTTACCTAATATCCTTTTACTGTCCAGGATTCCATCCAGGATACATTACCTGTAGTCCTCATGTCTCTTTAGAATCCTCTTGGCAGTGGCGGTTTCTCAGACTTTCCTTGTTTTTGATGACCCTGACAGTTTTGAGGCATACTGGTAAGGTATTTTGTAGGATGCCCCACTAGAATACTTCTGATCTCTTCCTCATGATTAGACTGGGGTTATGAGATATTGGGAGGGAGACCATAAAGGTGACGTGCTGCTTTCATCATATCATATCAAGGGTGCATTCTACCAACATGACTTATCTCTATTGATGTTGACCTTGATCACATGGCTAAGGTAGTGTTTGTCAGATTTCTCTACTAGAAAGTCACTATTTTTACCCTCATTTCCATACTGTACTCTTTGGAAGGAAGTCACTATGTGCAGCCCATACGTAAGGTGCATAAGTTATGCTCCACCTCCTTGAAGGCAGAATATTTCACATAATTTTTCTGGAATTCTTCTGCACGGGAAATTTGTCTCTTCTCTCCATTTATTTACTCATTTGTGTGTATCATTATAGACTCATGAATATTTACTTTTTCCTTTGGGTTATAATCCAATACTGCTTTATTTACTTTGTTGCTCAAATTGTTTCAGCTTTGGCCACTGGGAGATCCTTCAGTTGGCATCCAGGTCCCTCTGACATATTCCCATAAGTAAGTTTGTGTTGGCTGTTTTTGAATACTTCTTTACTTCCTGGCATTACAAGATGCTTCAAGTTCATCTTGTATGTTTCCTGCCCCCTAGACCTAGGATCAGCCACTTTTCCAAGAAGCCCTAGTTCCTTTTATTGGAGAATGTTATTAGAAACCAAGATCTGAGCACTAGGTCTGCATGTTGCTACCGGGCTGCTGTTGCTTCTAGGTCCTCTCACCTAACAGAGAAAAAAATATATGTGTTTACACTAACTCATGTATATATATTATTTGTAAATATTTCTATATGCAACCATTTGCATTTGTAGTCCACTAAACATGAGTTCATACTGATGTCTCCAATTCTAATGGATTACCACACATTCTTGCTTCCTCCCCTTGTTTATCTGTAAACTCCGACTCCTACAATAAGAAACCGGGCTCTCACCATCTGCCACCCATTTACATAGTTGTTCTATTCCAATATACATTTGTAGTGGTATCAGAATTGTTAACCCATATTCCCATGGGATACAACTTTACACTAGAGTACAGTGCTTACGTGCAGTTACCTTTTGCTTTTAGTCTTACTGACTCCATTCATTTCCAAAGATACTTAGGTCAGGATTTCTTCCCCAAATCCCCTTCATAGAATTTGTTTCACACATTTTTAATAGTTAAATTCTCTTGTCATAGTCTGCATTCCTTCTTGGGATTTCTAAACCTCTTGAATGATTTTTTTTTAATTTGCCTACATTAAGTTTCACTCATTGTGCTATACAGTTCTATAAATTTTGATAAATGCATAATGCCCAGTATCCACCATTACAGTAGTATACAGGATTAATATTTCTGCCCTAAAGATTGCCTATGCTTCACCTATTCATCCGTTCTACCCTCCTCTCAACCCTTAGAACGCACTGATCATTATACTGTCTCTATAGTTTAGCATTTTCCAGAATGTCATATAATTAGAAACATAATTTGTAGCCTTTTTATACTGGTATATTACACCTAGCAATACATATTTAAGTTTTCTCAATGTCTTTTCATGGCTTGATGGTTAATTTCTTTTTAGTGTTAAAGAATATTCCATTGTACAGATGGAATATTTATCCATTCACCTATCGAAGGACATCTTGGTTGCTTCCAGTTTTTGTTAATTATGACTAAAGCTGCAATAAACATTCATGTACAAGTTCAATTTTGTGAAAAGTGTAAGGTCTGTGTCTAGATTCAGTTTTTTACATATGGATATCCAATTGTTCCAGCATCATTTGTTGAAAAGCCTATCCTTTCTCTATTGGATTGCACTTGTTCCTTTATCAAAGATAAGTTGACTATATTTATGTGGTTCTATTTCTGGGCTCTCTAGTCTGTTCCATTGATCTGTCTACTCTTTTACCAATACCACACTGTCTTGATTACTGTAGCTTTATAGTAAGTCTTGAGGTTGAGTAGTGTCAGTTCTTAAACTTTATTCTTCTTCATTGTGTTGGCTATTCTGGGTCTTTTTCCTCTCCATATAAACTTCAGAATCAGTTTGTTGTTATCCACAAAATAGCTTGTTGAGATTTTGATTGGGATTGTGAGAATCTACAGATCAAGTTGGGAAGGACTGCCAACAACACTAAGTCTTCCAATCCATGAACACAGAATATTTGTCCATTTATTTAGTTTCTTTGATATTTTTCATCAGTTTTATAGTTTTCCACATATAGATCCTGTCTATATTTTGTGAGATTTATACCTAAGTATTTTTTTGTGTGCTAATGTAATTGGTGTTGTGGTTTTAATTTCAAAATCCAATTGTTCATTGCTAGTATATAAGAAAGCAACTTTTGTGTGTTAATCTTGTATACCGCAGGTTTGTTATAATCAGTTATCAGTTCTAGGGTTTTTTTGTTGTTGATTCTTTGGATTTTTTTACATAAACAATAAAGTCATCTGTGAACAAAGATAGTTTTATTTCTTCCTTGCAATCTGTATAAAGTCTGTTTCCTTGTCTTATCGTATTGCTTTAGCTAGGACTTCCAATACAATCTTGAATAGGAGCAGTGAGAGTGAACATCCTTGCCTTGTTCCTGATTTCAGTGCAAAAGCATCCAGTTTCTCACCAGTAAGTATGGTATTAGCTATAAGACTTTGTAGATATTGTTTTTTTTTTTTTTTTTTTTGAGGAAGATTAGCCCTGAGCTAACATCTGCTGCCAATACTACTCTTTTGGCTGAGGAAGACTGGCCCTGAGTTAACATCCATGCCCATCTTCCTCTACTTTCTATGTGGGACACCTACCACAGCATGGTTTGCCAAGCGGTGCCGTGTCTGCACCCGAGATCCAAACCAGTGAATCCCAGGCTGCCACAGCAGAATGTGCACACTTAACTGCTGCACCACCAGGCTGGCCCCAAGATTTTGTAGATATTCTTTATCAAGCTGAGAAAGTTGTTCTCTATTCCTAGTTTGCTGAGAGTTTTTCTTTTTATTTTCACCACCAATATTTAATTAGCCATTAAGACCCACTGACTACTCCACAACAATATCTATCAAATTTGACAAACTCTTCAATTTAGTTGTTACTTCCCAAATCTCAGTCCCACATCACCTTTTGCCTAGATCACTACAACCACTAGCTGAAGTGAGGATCATATTTTTGGATTCTTAAACCAATATATTGTCACT